ATCCAGATACAAGATTCTATTCATGTTTATGAAAGACCGAAACCGAAAACCAATCGAGAACGATCGACCTGATCCTCATCTCATAAGATATGGGGGGATTTTTGCTTTTAGCAGCAATCCTGCCTGCAAACCCATACCCGGGCCTCGATTACAAAATGTGCACGGTCATTCTATCCTTTCGAAAGAAACCTGATTGGGGACCCGGTTTTTATGAACTTAACACCTATATCTTGCAACAGAAAACCTTCCAGAATTATATCACAGACTGCTGGAAGTACTGGCACGAGCAAAAACAGCACTTCCAGCAAATAATAGATTGGTTTAATAACGGATTATTCTACCTAGGTAAGAAATGCCAAGAATATTCTAAACTGTTAGCAACCAGAAAACATCAACAGGAGATGGAAATACACCAACAATTGTAGCAACTAGAGCACCAGGATCAGTTTAACGACAGCCAGAATTTACAGACAAGAATATTCAGAGATACAAACGTTGAGACAACGACTCCAGACCTTCGCCACACAACGTTGGGAAGGAATGCGGATAAGAGGACGACTGACAAAGTATCAAACAGAAGGAACAATGGATAAAATATTCTTCAGCATGGCCCGGGTGCGCTCGCGCAGAACAACCATCGAAGCACTATATGACCTGCGGACCGGACACCGAGATATTATTACTTCCACCCCCCATTGCACACAGATAGCAAGATCCTTTTTCCAGGACTTGTTCACCTCAAGGTGCGCCCGGCAGGAGAGGAGTGTAAGGGAGAAAGAAATCGGGGACTTCTTGATACCACTAGAGAAGTCTCTGACAGGGCAGCAGAGAGTAGATCTGGATCGTCCCCTATCCAAGGAGGAAATATGGACGGCGATGATGCAGATGGAAGAAGAGAAAACGTCGGGCATCGACGGGTTTCCAAAGGAATTCTGGGAGGTCTTCTGGACACAGATGGCCCCGGATCTCATAGAGTTCTATCAGCAGGTGTGCGAAACAGGGAGAATGGGGGAGCTGGTAGGACAAGGAATACTCACCTTGCTACACAAAAAGGGTGATAAGAGGGATATTCGAAACTAGAGGTGCTCACAGTCGTCTATAAAATGTTAGCGATGGCCCTAGCAAACCGATTGCTCTCGGTCTTGGACGATGTTATCCATCCGACGCAAATCGGGTTCATCAAATGGCGCAGGATCCAGGATAACATATTATTAGTCAACGAACTACTTCAACTAATAAGACAAGACAAACAAAATGCAGTCGTGGTCTTTATCGACTTTGAAAACGCCTACGGCCACGTGGACTGATTTTTCCTGGATAAATGTATGGAAAAAATGAACATAGGGCGATTTTTCCGCCGTTGGATCGAAATACTGCATTGCAACGCAACCACGAGCGTCCAAGTCGATGGAAGGATAGTGTCGGCCTTCCCGCTGCAACGGCCGGTTGGCCAAGGTGACCCTTCGACACCCTTCCTGTTTATAATTGTGATGGAGGCATTAGCATCGAACCTCCGTGCCAACAAGGACCTGAGGGAATCGCAAATCTCGGTTATCCTTGAAGAATCGATCCCAATCTGTTCGATGTTTGCAGACGACTTGACACTTATGATCGATGCAACCGCAACAAACATGGAAGAGATCAGACATTTATTCGACCGGTTCACAGTTGTATCTGACATAGAATGTCAACTGAGGAAATAAAACCTTGGGATGGTGGATCCACCATCAAGGGACGCACCCCCCCGAGCTCCCACAGGTCAAATGGCTCCCAGAAACGGCCCCAGTTAGGGTGTTGGGAATCATGTTAACGGCACTAGGTAAGCCTACTTCGAATGTTGAATGGATTATGAAGCCCCCTCTAGAGAAGCTGGCCCACTGGAATGATCGTCACACCTCCCTTATCGGTAGGGCACTGGCAGTCAACAGTGTGATATTGGCAGCCCTCTGGTACAAATCGGCAATCTGGGCCCTCAGCAAGGAGGCCCTTTGATCGTTAAAGCGGCAGTTATCAGCCCTGCTATGGAGAGGCAATGGAGAGCTTCCAAATGTTATTAGTAGAGTAGCATGGCAATCGGTGATCCAACCCAAAGACAAAGGGGGCCTGGGGATCCTAGACCCGGATACCCAGATCAAAGCATTAACAATCCAATGGATCCCGAGACTTCTCTTCACACAACATCTCCCATGGCATGCCCTTGCGTTGGAACAAATAGCCAGACTCGGCCCCCAGGCACCGCAGGGAGTTAACCCGCTTACCTAGCTTGAAGACCTTTACTGGACAGTGCCACGGTCTCGTCGCAACGGGCGAGTTCCGTACCAGGACACAGCCCGCTCGGATTTGGTCAAGGACGACTTCTGGGCTCTTGTTTTGAAAGTCTGGCGCCAACTCCCGTTATCCGATAGACCCCCACCAACCAGTTGGGAAGAGGTGGCACGCCAACCCCTCTTTGGGAACAGATTGATCACAGACCAGTACAGTAGAGTGTTCTGCAGTTCAAGCACCCCGTGGAATAACTGGGTTAAAAGAGGTATAACCAGAATAAAAGATATATGGGATACACACGGGGGAGACTGGAAATCTGCACAGCAACTAAGGTCTACACTAAAGTATTGTCATAAGGTTGAAGAGCACATCGAAACCTTGATCTTTGCTATCCCCCTAGACTGGGTCGGCATCTTGCACAAAGGGCCGCGGCTGGTAGAAGGGGACTGGATAACAGCCCCGGGCGATCCGGAAAGTGTAGGCAACGTGGTGGAGGTATGAGCAGACGAAACCTTGATCAATCTCTTCCACATTGGTAAGAACAATGTGCTCACCCGGTACACGCCAGACGTGGGGGGATGGTGCAGAAACTTTGATTTGAACAGGATTCGTGTGCTGCAAGACAAAGAGGTGAGGATGGTGTACCGGCCAGACACCCCCGTGGCTGAGCTCCCCTTTGATCCCGAGGAATGGCACTGGTCCCCCCCACGTAAAACCAGGCCGGGGGAGAGTTTGAAACTGCATACTTTAACGGTGAAGGCTACCTATCGTCTGCTGCGACCTAAGGTGAACTTAAAAGAAACGGTGAAGGCTCGATGGAGGTTTCATTTGAACGTAGGAACTGAGGCAATCCGCCCCATTCGATGGTTCACCGCCACAAGGTCCAGGCCAGCAAAGATGGCCTCGCTACGATGGCAGATAGAACATCGCTGCCTGCCTACTAACGACTAGCTGATCGATCATACACATCTAGAGCAGAAGGGACGGGTGCTACCGTGGTGTAAGTCGTGTCACACCGTCTTTCCCTCCCGCAGAATTCCGGAAACCATAGAACATATATTCATGCGTCCAGGGGTCGTGCTTACATGGTGATGGTGGGATAAAATCTGGACACGGTTGGCCACCGGCTCCTACTGGCCATGGGACTGGAGAGCCATATTATGCGAGGCATGGACCTCCCCCACTAACAACACTTTCGAGAACAATATGTTCAAGCTAGGGAGGAGAGCAGTCATGAAGGCTCTCTGGAGAAAACGCTGTACCCATGCAATAGAGGGGGTCAGCGTTGCCGGGGAAGAGGTTACAGACATGATAAAACAATACGTCCAACAAGAACTCTGGGTACAGTGGCAAAAAGTCAAAAACCAACTTGAGCTGTTCCATGCATCAAACGACATATCCCAAGCAATTCAGCAATTTTCGGAGGACTGGTTGGGCAGCGAGAACGGGGGCTGGATTGCATTTGTCCGATGGGATGGTAAACCCGCCCAGGAATGCAACCAGGACGAGTTCAGGAGAGATTACTCTATTAACTTCAGAGACTGGACTACGGTGGGACAGGAATTTCCGCTGCGACCATCAACAAATTTTCCAGATCCATTTCCACCACACTAGCTGGCAATGGTCGACATGCACTGGTACGGTGCAGAGTGAGCAGGATCTCAGGCAGGACCATGGCTGAAGCTCAAGCGAGGAAGCAGTGGGTTAACAAACAGCACACGAAAGGCATTGGCAGAAGTCGCCGCTAGGGCAACATGAGTGATCTGGTGGTCTGATGCAGACTGAAGAGGCGGTGCAGAGGCGGGGGTGATGAATGGCTCTCAAATCATTAACCCTGCACAGTCAATCCCCTGAAAACAGGGCAATCAATGCTGGCAGGCTATCTGATGTACAATGGGATGCTGGACCCGTTTTCCAGCAGGTGCTGCTCCCCACCAATAGATTGGAGCACCCAGGTATCTTAAAAAAAAAAAAAAAGATTGTCTTCCCCCCCAAGACTGGAAGATCAATAGGTTGTACTGCAAGGTGGCAGATTATCCCTCCAGGCTGATGACGTTGTTATGCCAGCCTGTTTGGGAAATCATCGCAGCCTTTTTTGCCTCTTCGATGAGGCTGTTGACCTTTTTGAGACTTTTTCTGTTTTGTTTTTGTTTTTTCTATTTGCCTTCTTTGTGTCAATGTTTTCTAACTTTTTCGGTGATTGCGCCATTAGGCGCGAGGCTTCCTGGAAGAAGGAATTCTTTTTTTTACCAAATTAAATAAAGCGAAGCTTATGGAAACCAAAATATTTGTGGTGTTTTAGAAATCGTAGGTGTTGCATGTAAAGCTAGTAGCCTAGTACTAATCCATAGAGGTCCATACTTAATCTTGAAAATTAGGACTTAGTCATGATATGAATCTCCTAGCTCCGCCCTCGGTTCTGTGTTTTGGTTAGAAGTTAAAACCTACCCTTATTTGTTGTACAGGAATCAAACCACAAAAGGTCACACAATTTGCTGCCAGAATCAAGCATTGTAAGCCTCCTGAGTTTACAAAGGGAAGGGCCTCAGATACCGAAATGAGATTATACTCAAGAAACAAGGCAACAAAAGGAAACATGCGATATTTCAAATCGAATAAATCGGAAAACTAAAGCTCATCAGCTCAGTGAGTGAATCGTCAATTTAATCAATTTGAATTCTGTCTTATCTGACGAGCTGTGCTGTTTCATCTTCCTTTTTTCATGTGGTCAACAGGCTTGAGAATGACGCGACCGATATGTCAACTATGGCTGCATTCATCAGCTCCTGTAATCACATTGGGCAGTAGACAGTTGCCGTGGGAGAAGGTGCACAGAGAGACAGAGAGACAGAGAGACACACACACACACACACACAGAGAGAGAGAGAGAGAGAGAGAGAGAGAGAGAGAGAGAGAGAGAGAGAGAGAGA